GGTTCATTTACAATAAACAATGACAAACCGTTGTGTATTTGTATTCGAGAGAATGCAATCGCCGATTGGATGAATGTCGTGAAAAATTACACCAATCACGAGCCGGTAAAACAGAATTCTATTTACTAACGTAACTTTGATCTTGAATTACCAACGTGAAAGAAATAAAGTTACTGTTTCAAACAAAAGTACTGGTCACGTGACTTGTAATCATTTCTGCTCTGTATAAGTGAACTAGATATTAAAACGCACGGACAGCTCAACGATTCCACACGTCGGACTAAATTAAAAAGCCACCGGAGTGCAAACCGTAAGAAAAACGACGCAACTCGTAACACGCGTTAAAACGGCGTATTTAAAATTCCAGGCGATTTTCACCTCTTTAATGGCTTCATCGCGAGGAGAGAGGCATCAGCCTTCAGCACAGGTAGACTGTCAAGAGGGCGTATACATCGGGACTGTCAACCGGTCAACCATTCCAAAAAAACGAGTTCCCCGTAGATTTCGTTTTTGCACTATTCCCTTATGCCACTCTAAACTGCCTTCGTGGGACTCCTCACGGTTATGTGATTTACGCTTTGGTATATGATAGTGCAGGACTTCATTCACAGCATTGATAAAAAGTAATGCCAATTAAGAATTAAAGCCAGGCGTCCAATTTAATTCTGAAAACGTGATTTCAATTTCATGAAGTAAACTAAGACGTTGATTGTATTTACTAGTCCGTTTGAGAAAATATTGATCAAATTTCTTTCAAAAACTTAATTTAATTTTTAATACATATACAGGGTGTAACTAAATAAGTGTAAAACATTTAAGGGGGTGATTCCTCATCGAAAAAAAGATAGGATCTTTTATATAAAGAAACTTCATTGGAGCATCCCTTGTTAAGATACAGCCCCTTAAAGGGGGTACATAAAATTTGTTTAACAATTTTTTTCACAAGCACTAAACAAGTTACAATATTGAAATTAACCTGACATTTTCTACTACCAAAAAGACACTTAGCCAGTAATTTATTTGGTTTACCCCATGGTTGTAAGGGGTGGAAAACGCAACCCCTAAAATTTATTTCCAACGTAACTTTTTGTCTTATTATTTGTTTACCATTTAAAAATTTATTTCCGATAGCCTGTTTCATTCTAAAAAAAAATGTCTCTTGAATTTTTTGCCCAAATTAAACCAGTTCGCAGCAAAAAATTATTTTACGAACAAGATACATATCGCCATAAAACGAAAATACGAAACTAATTTATCTAGTAGGCCGCTATTAGCGATACTGACAATTAAATTGGAATCAAGCTGTCAGTTTGTAAATTTTTGAAATTGAAGTAATACTAATTGTGTATTGTTCTGTTCTTAATTTGTTACTTTAATAATTCACTTGTTATTAAAATGGCATACACAAATGAGGAAATGGCTGATATGCATTACGTTTACGGTCTGTCGCAGGGGAATGGGTTAGAAGCTTCTACAAGATATGCTGAAATGTATCCTCAACGGCAGCATCCTTCACATAGAATATTTGTCTGACTTCATCAACGATTACGTGAATATGGTTCATTCAACAAAAGAACGCAGGATTGTGGTCGCCATCGAGAAGTAAGAACACCACAGCTTGAGGCAGCAGTACTTAATTTGATAGAAGAACAACCTACTACCAGTACTAGAAAGATTGCTTTCCAGCTAAATGTTGATCATATGACGGTATTTCGAATTTTAAAGGAACATCTCTTATACCCTTACCATCTGCAACGAGTACAGGCACTGTTACCGCGAGACTTTCCGAACCGTCTTGAATTTTGCAATTGGATGCTGGAAATGATTAGAAGAAATCGTGACTTTCTGAAGACGATCGAATTCACAGACGAATGTAGTTTTTCTCGGGACAAGATTATTAATTTTCATAATTACCACATATGGGCTGATGAAAACCATCACGCTATTGTCGAAACTAACCATCAAGAACAGTTTTCTCTTAAGGTGTGGGTCGGAGTTATTGGGGATTATTTAATTGGGCCTCATTTTCTACCTCCTCGATTAAATGGTGAGGCATACGTTCAATTTTTAAGAAAAGTGCATCCCCCCGTACTGCTGGAGGAAGTTCCTTTGGGCGTCAGAAGGGATATGGTTTTTATGCATGATGGGGCTCCCGCCCATTTTAGTCAAGTAGCACGTCAGCATTTAACTGAAACATATGCAAATCAGTGGATAGGTCGAGGAGGACCACAGAATTGGCCCGCTCGATCCCCGGATCTCAATCCTCTGGATTTGTCTACTTGGGGCCATTTGCAGCATTTGGTTTATCGTACTCCTGTTCGCGATGTAGAGGACTTAAGAAACCGCATTATCGATGCGTGCAGGGTAATTAGAGAGACTCCAGGAATATTTGAGCGAATACGTGGCTCAATGCGCCGACGTCTAGACGCATGCGTAATGTCTGAAGGTAGACATATTGAACATTTACTATGATTTCTACATGTTGTATGTTTTGTTATTATTAAATTAGTTTTGATTATTCCCCTTTAATCATTTAATGCAGGTAGTAACTACAAAATAACAGTAAATCCAGTCCGCATTTATGACGATGTATCTCTGTAGTTGTTCGTAAAATAATTTTTTACTGCGAACTGGTTTAATTTGGGCAAAAAATTCAAGAGACATTTTTTTTTAGAATGAAACAGGCTATCGGAAATAATTTTTTAAATGGTAAAAAAATAATAAGACAAAAAATTACGTTGGAAATAAATTTTAGGGGTTGCGTTTTCCACCCCTTACTACCATGGGGTAAACCAAATAAATTACTGGCTAAGTGTCTTTTTGGTAGTAGAAAATGTCAGGTTAATTTCAATATTGTAACTTGTTTAGTGCTTGTGAAAAAAATTGTTAAACAAATTTTATGTACCCCCTTTAAGGGGCTGTATCTTAACAAGGGATGCTCCAATGAAGTTTCTTTATATGAAAGATCCTATCTTTTTTCGATGAGGAATCACCCCCTTAAATGTTTTACACTTATTTAGTTACACCCTGTATACCTAAAAAGTGTGTTCTAACAATTCTATCACAATTTGATATCTAGTCACAATATTTGCCAGGGGTATAAGAATAAATATGTACAGGTTTTGAAATATAATAAAAAGTAATAACAATTTTTGATTTATTGTCAAAAAATTACCCGACGAAGGGACAAACGTGAATACAACCACAAAACTAATTAAAAGCGGTAAATAATTAAATTTTCTGATTTGATAGCACTTCAGCCCCCCTTTGCAGTCCACTGTGTACGTCCAAAACTTTAAATAATGTGCAAGCCAAACGTAAACTCTATTTCAAAAGTCTTAACTATAAATTAAGTAAAACAGCTACTTTTCGTCCGAAATACACGTTGGCCAATCAAAACAGTTGAAATATGGCACCAAGTGGAAACAATAGACTCTTTTAGTGTGACGTCACATATTTAGGCAACCCGCAACAAATTGTCATAGTTACATACATACTATGGACCCATAGACCTTTTCAGCAGTGACGTCACATACGCTAAATAATAGGCAACCCAATAGTGCACATTGTCATGAAGAACTTCCTAATATTTTTACTAGATCGACTTTCGACCTTATGTACTTTGGACATAAGTGCCAAAAAATGGCTTCTTTGTAAATATCGTGATATTCTGGCAATATTAGAAATATTTAAGAAGTGTCAAACCCTAAGTAACAAACTAATAGAATTATAGAATTTATATATTTAAATTTATAGAACAATATTGATTTATTATAGTAATTAATAAATTAAAATTATATCAATGTTACTGAGCATGAGCATTAAAGATATTTCATGTAAGCGAAATAGCCTCGCAACAGATACCATTCAAGAAAAGTTTGGTTATGTCTATAATAAACAACTTGAAGAAACCAACACTGGATAAACACACTGATACAGTGCAACACCAAGAAAAACAATAAAAATACTTAGTAGAACTAGAAAATGATAAGATTAAACAAAACGAGAGAAAATACGCTAATGATGACAGCGATAACATATCAACAAGATCTCACCTGCGTATGAAGCTATTCTTTCCGAGCACGAGCATTAGGAATAACACGGCTAATGTTAAACTTTTTCTTTATTTAAATTTAGGAATATTATTTTACATCGTTTTTTGTAAGTTTTAAGCACATTAGTGTAAGTATCTATGTTAAAAAACATGTTGGTTGTTCTTAAATACTTCCAAATCCAATATTATAACTAAATCTGTAAACCCTTATGTAATGGAAAAATGGTAGAAATGCCTAAAATACCCTTTTCGTTTTTTAATAGTATCTCGCTTATTGTTAGAGATGGATCCAATAAACCCTATACGGCTATGCTCGACAGGGAACGTTCTATCCAAATATGAAAAACTATACAGGGTGTTCCATTTAAATTAACAAAGTTAACATCAGCGGCCATTTTGTTTGGACTCATTTTCGAAAATTTCATAAAAAATCGTGCAACTTTTGTATTTCACATTTTTTATAACTCATAAAACAAAAAAGTTAAAGGGGGTCAAAATATAGTGAATCAACCTGTACATACTCGTTTTTTGATTTAACAAAGATATCAAATTATTTTTATTACTCACTCAATTAATTGTCATCGTATTTCAGATGTTCCAATTTAATAAGCAGTGAGATAAACAAAACATTTTGAAAACGGTTGAGATTTTTCACACTTCAGCAGTATATCAAATTTACATAATTTTTTAAAATAATTATTTGTTCAAATTGAGGATATGTGAAGAACAAAAGAAAAACTAGGTCATATTTGCAGTACCAGTGAGTTGTAACTAATGCCCTTGCACCCAAAAATTAATACTATTTTTGAAATTTTTGTACTAGAAAATGTATCTACCGTAATTTTTCATTTTTATTATGATACATTTGCCTTGATTAAATTAAAATGAATTGAAGTTTAAATTTAGTAACATTTATTGGTTCAGAAAGTAGAGAATTTTTTTTTACCTGTTAAGTCATCAGAGTCGACATCCCTCCTTACTAGAGCCGCAACTGTTTGGGCTGCTGGGAATCCCCAAGCACAGACATGAAGGACCGAACTCAAACTCCTCATTTTTTCAGGGGACCATGAGAGACCCACCCTGGCAACCCACCAAGCGCAAAGACAGACCCACCTGTAACAAAGACCAATGTTAAAAAGTTAATGTCTTACTTTTGAAAATATTGCTTGCAAGGATGTCAAGTCAAAGTTAGGGGAATAAGATTATGATTCTTCGCGATTTTCTGTGAAAAAAAAATCATTGGTATGATAACGTTCAATCTAGATCCTTTATTTCAGTGCTAGTGAAATTGCTGCACAAAGTTTGTTCTATTTCACCCTACAACAAATGATTAAAAGATTGTCGTTTTTCCAACACTTTTAACGTAAACTGGATTACTTTTCAAAAGACATTACTACCTATTTTTGTGATCGAATCAACACAGTGATAGTTTCCAAAATGTCTTTATAACTTACGTTATGGTAAAAGTGAAAATATGTGAAAGCATATGCAAAAAAATAAAATAAAATCAGAAATTTAGTATTCAACAACATTAACAGATATATATTTAGAAAATGAGGCTTATGATGATTACTAAAATACTATTTTTCTTGTAATTCTTTAAATATACTCAGAAAAAGATAAAATCGAAATCTAAAATTACGGAGCTTTGTCCCAATACCATCTCTCCGTCTCTGATGATTTACGATATGGTCCACTATTATTACTTTCCACATCAACTCATTTCCTTCATAAGCGAGCTTTCCTGCATTTCATTTTTCCATTTTGCATAAAGAGGCGGGTGGGTACACATATTACACTTCTCTAAACCGGGTGCAACCTAATGTAGGCGAAAGAAAAAACACATAGACATGATTTTTCTTTAGCTTTAGTATGTTCCAATATATTAAAGTGTAAATTAATTTTTATTTAAAAAATATTATAATGTATTGCAGTGTATCGAAAAATTCACATAAAAATTTATAAAATATAACTCGTTTGAAGGACGGTTTAACAAGCGAAATAATGGTAGGTAATTAATTTTCCCATTCACTCAGGCGGATAAGTCCGACTTTATGTCGGGATTGATGGTGTGATGGTGAGACAACAATATTACACACCTTCCCACTTACCTGTTACATGTACCTATTATTATTAACGCGTTATCTCATATTACATTCGGCTTTTGATAGATAGGACTGATATATCAAGGGCAATTCAGCATTAAAGAAGCCGAAAATAAACACACTTAATTTTTATTAAATATAGATGAGATTAGCTTGTCAATCGATTAATAACCAATTTTGTTGTTTTGATGGCAACACGGATAACCGATGTTGAAAAAAAATCAGAAGGGAAGCATCTAGTTACGAGGTACAAAATCATTCAACCGAATTATTTACTTACTGTGTAAATTGCTTCTTTTACTATAGTTAACGAAAGTAAAATATTGGTAGTCATTTTTTGTTAATAATGCCGTCAATCCTTGTTGATCTATACATAGGTACACGGCTCAACATTAAAGTTTCTTTCCTTTATAAGAAAGGGTTTCATTAGTTTCGTTCTTCAAATTCCATGTAGGAAACATTTATTTGCCCAGGACTGCACAAAGCATAGAGTTTTTAGTGTAAAATATTCTTTTTGTGTTGCGTTAGAAAATATTGATAGTTTACGATGTATACTTCTAACAGCGTGTATTTTTCATCTTTGTAAAACAAAGATAATTTACAGTGCGCCCAATGCATTGGATAAACATGACTTTTTTTGTTAATTTCATTACATGAACATTCATATATGTGTTGTCAGGTAATATGATATGTTTCTTACGTTCAGTGACATTTGTCTTTATTATCATTTAATTGTTTAACGCATTTGACAATATTGCTGTATTTTGTAAAGCCATTAAAGTAAATATTTCGTTTTTACGAACTAAAAACGGCAGCGGTTTATTGCGAGAGTGTATTTAAGTGTCGCAAAAGTCTAAAACATGAAAGTGTATTTTTTAACAGAAAACCATCAATTTTCTGGCTTCAGTTTCCTTCGCATTTCAATATTCACTGTTTTCCATAAAATTTTAGATGGATGGACCGTACTTATGCAGTGTTAGAGCAAAAGTATTTTACAAATAGTGTCCAAAATTCTTTTCTGAATATTATTTTAAAATCATATTTTTCAATTTTTTTTTATATAGAAGCATTCGGTTGTCTTTATTTTGTTACCGAGGAGTTTAACTATTTCTTTGGTAGTTTCTGGAATATGATGACCCAAAGAAAAACTAACCAATTTTTGTAATTAAGAAAAATAAAAATTTATTACAGATTAGTAGGGCTGTCAGAGAGAGCCGCAATTCAATGGCGTGCCAAGCGAGTCAACCGAGACATGCGTAAGTCGCTGCCTCAGTATGCTTTTCACGTTCACTTCACGTTAGTATACTGTTGTTTGTTATCGTGCGGATGTTGCGTAATTAATTCCTATACGTTGGTGTTTATGGTGGTGTACTGTAGACAATTTAATTTGTTGTTTTTTAATAAATAATGCGTACCCTTATGTTCCGCGGCTCAATTCTGACACCCCTACAGATTAGTTCAAATTGTTTTCATTAATAAATACAGAAATAATGTCATGAGGTATCCCGAAATAAGGTCATGAGACAACCTAAAACAAAGGTTGGATAGTACTGAATACGTAGAATAATGAAAAGAGATTTAGAACAAAAACTGCCTTAAATGACTTGCAATAATTTTGGGATGGTTATATAGAATAAGGAAGATAAGTATAGATTCAGAAATTACGAAAAAGGGGAAAGGCAGTTTCAAAGGAAAAATGAAGATTTTCCATTGCAACCCTCTTAAAAACTGAATTGCACAATTCAAAGTTACACTCTTATAAAATCAAAAAAATTAGGAATTCATAGAAAAATAGTAAATATGTAGGATTAATCTTATGTTATAAGATAGTACTTATATTTTAACTGTGGGTACAGTGAACGTCATTTTTTTAAATTAAAAATATATAAGGATATACTCGTCTACAAATATATAAGGATATATTAATTTTTTTTAACCTTCCATTTATACATTTTGAGAATTGCTGTCCACAAGGAAAGTTTTTAAAATCTTCCCATCCACATGTAAACCACAATAATTAATTTAGAACAGGAAACTGAACAGCTGAAAACACAAAAGCTAACCTTTCACTGGATTTTATAGCAAAAATATTATCTCCCGCAATATAAATACATATAATTAAAACAGTACATAAATAACGAATATTAAATTGAAAATTGAGTTCATGTGAATAACAGGACACATGTAGTATTGTTGAAAACCATTGCCGGATAAGAATGGCAAGAGAAAGAAGAGGCTGTAAACATTTTTATGAAGATTCATAATTTCTTAAATGTATCATCTTAAAAAAAAATCTTATTCATTCGTTATTTTCTTCCTATTTGTATAAAAACTTAAACTTTAAGATTTCTGTGCAACACTGGCAACGTTGCATAAATACCAGAGTGAAGTCAGCGGCCCTCAACAAGTTTTTTGTTTAAAAATAATCTATACTCATTTTAAAGTAGCCTTTTTTATTCTAATTTTTTTTACAGAAAAACTATTAATTACATGGTCGGATGAGTAAATTAATTGTTTAAAATATATGTAGAGTTGTTTCAAAATCTTATGAGCTTTGACCTTCATATGCGCAGAACATAATTCCGACCGTCGCCTAAATTATTCTACGTCCTAAAAACATTATATCTATTATTCACAGTCTATCTCGAGCTCTCGTAGTGTAGACAAGCCTTTGATCCGATTATTACTATACTTAATAAAATGCCCTATTCTTTATTTTAATTTAAGCAATACAAATAAATATAACGAACGTTCGCCAATTGACTTTATTGATGCCTGAGCACCTTAATTCATTTCTGGTTGTAATGAGGCACGTGGTCTAATTCTGAGCATTTCGCGGCTCATGAGATTTTGAAATTACTCTACACGTTTAAGATTCTTTCTGTACCTTGAATATTTCTAAATAATAGGGTTATTGCTAAGGCAATTTTATCCAATTAAATTTTATTATACATATTTTACTTGCATTTCTTTTAGGTTATCTTATATAGATTTTTTTTATATAGATTTTACTTTTGGTGGTTAAAGTAAATGATTACTAAAACTGATGTCATAAAATATTTATTACATGACAGCAAACGATAAAAAATCTACTTGTAATAGTATCTGTAAAAAAATATACCCGCAACACAGAATCGACTATCTTTCAATGAGTTGCAGGCTTTCATCTCGTCTCGATTCGACCTCGAAAGCCACAATCCATTACACACAAACATAAACAAATGTGAAAATTAAAATGAAGGTGATGGGTGTTAATAAGCATTATGACAACCGTATAACTAATAACAATGAGCACCTGTTAATCGCCTTAACGGGTGCCCGTGGTCGGCCAATTAACGACTCGCCGTTCAGTGACTCTTTTTTTTTCACAACGCGCCGGCCAGATTTGCATCCCGAGAAATGTGAAACAATTCGGGGAACATTAGAAAACAAAGGGCATTTAAATTGACCGAAGATTTACGATACGGTTAGCTGCTGGCCGCAATATTTAAAGTTGCCATCGGGTAATAAGAAGAACAAAACACTAACGAAATAAACGATCTTGTCGAGTTAATAAGATGCTCTATTGTTCGGTCCGTGGAGCAGCGTAAAGCTTATCTTGGACGGGGTCTCTTTCTTACCGGTTGCGGTACGGGCGAACTGCACAGGTAAGGGTTTTTTTTAATCCGAAGAGTAAAAAATAAAATTATTTTGAAAATTTCGCAGCCCTTTTTTTCGTAGCAAATCTTTAACTCTATGATTAACCAGTAGTTCAAAATGACAAGCAGTTTGAAACAAATGAAAATATTATCGTCATGGAGATTCATAGACTACTAACAGGGCTTTTGTTCGTAAATATGTGGCCATTACTATCATTTTTTCACTCAACGACGTGTCATAAATGATAAGCTTTTACAAAAATTTGTGACTATTCTATAATGGTTACGAAAAATTAAGCGGTGTTGCCAGTTTTATTAAAAATATTAAAATACATATTGATTTATGAGGTTGTTTTTGAAATCTTTTCAA